TGCGTGTATAACCGGTTCTGTTAAAAAAAATTACAAGATACAGTTAATCATAGTTCTCTTTGGATATAAAAACTCATTAGCAGATGGTATTTGTTCACCCTATGTAAGGTTCTCTGGCTTGCAAGGCTGCTGTTTTAGAAGTCATAGTCTATGCCCAGAGGAAATTACATGGGTGACTAGATAGGCATGTTTATTTAAAAAGTGGAAAAATACATTTTTAATGTGATAGTTAATACTTTCTTAAGCACTTGAGTATCAATAATTCCTACCAAGAGGGCAACTATCCATTGAACTCTTGTGAACACCAAAGTTGTTATCAGATTAATTGTATTCTAAGCATGTTTACCCCTTTTTAAAAATTGAGTAAAATTTTTTGAAATTGTGGTAAGTAAATTTATAATAAAACATTTCCATTTTCAACATGAAAATCTTTAAAATAAAATATTTAAAACAAATACTGGACTATATCAACCAGGTAAGTTAAGGCTGTGCTAAAAGCAAAGCTTTTATCTTAATAAGGAGTAAGAGGCTTGGTGACAGAGTGGTTACGCATTGGGTTGCTAACAACAAGATTGCGATTCGAAATCACCAGCTGCTCCTTGGGAGAAAGACAAGGCTTTCTACTCCTGTAAAAAGTTAGTCTCAGAAACCCACAGAGGCAGTTCTACCCTGTCCCTTTGGGTCATGTTGAGTCTGAATTGACTTGATGGTAGAGAGTTGTAAAGGCTGAAAAAGAGCCGTTATAATCTTGGAACACTAATTCTTCTATTGCTGAAGAGGTCATGCTCTGCTACTCAAATTCCATTCCTCATATGACATCTCTACATTGCATTTGATATTCTCATTTACATACAGATTTATCTCCCAGATTTTCCAGGTAATGTGTAATACTTCATCACCAAGAATAAACTCTGTAGGCATTTATTGCTTTTATGATAAATGAGATTATGTTTTTGTTGTAATTAATTCATTAAGAATTTAATTCATAAGACCCTTCTTTTATACTTTCTATCTCCTCTGGATTTATTTGTTTGCTTTCCTGGGAATTATTTTTACTTTGAGGACAAATTCTTTTTTCCATCATTTTATTAGGGGCACATACAACTCTTATCACAATACATACATACATCAATTGTGTAAATCACATTTGTACATTCATTGTCCTCATCATTCTCAAAACATGTGTTCTCT